CCCCAAAACCCCAAAACCCCAAAACCCCGAGAGTAAAAATATAAAATCAAATTGAAATTAGAATTTAAGAAATAAATCGATATACATATTTAAAATGGGAGAGAGAATATATTAGTTAACTGAAGTAGAATTTATATAGCATGACTATGACACTAGTGATTTTGATCATAAAACTAAGGAGCAACCGAGTGCAACTTACACTGAAACTACACCTTCCATAAGATCTGAGTAAATCTTATCAGTTAGAGAGAGGGCAGAGAATTATTTTTAGCACTTGTAGTCTAAGGAGGTAATCTATGAAAAAGATATAAATCGATGTTTAATTTTTCATTATAGAAAGTTTACGATATATTCATGAAACTGATGAATAAGTTTAAATATGATTAACAGATGGCAAAAAAGAAATTAGAAGAAATGAATTAGCAATACAAAAAGGTCATGCTGCTTAAATCAGGAGCTGAAGATGATTAGGATCATCATGACTAGCTTGTTCAGCAACTCGATGACATTGATTGATAGATGTAAGTCTAAAAGTTTATGAAACATAAACTAAATATACTATAGGGAAATCGAGCTTGAGCAAAGAGAAACTTAGGAGCATTTATATAAAAGAAATTTGGATGAAAATAGATAAAAAGAGGAGTAGATTGATGAAATGCTTGCAGTTGTATATCATTATGCAGATGTAAGCGAGAAATGGAAAAATATCAAATTTTTATCTGAAAAAGAAAAGAAGGAGATGTAAAATAGGTATGTCTAGGCTATCAATATTGTACGGAAAAGAAAAAAGGAAAATAAAAGGAAGATTTAAGAAAAGATGAATATTCTACAAAGTCTTAATAGAATGATAGACAAATTTGATGATCAAATATAAGAAGGTCACATTTAAAAGCTATAGCAAGAGGGTAAACTTAAGAAACTTTAATAAAAGGCTCTCAAAATGGAACAAGAATTGAAAGACGAGCATAATTATCTCAACCTTCAAAATAATCAGCTCAAAGAATATGAGAGGTAGTATGATATATTATGCTCCGGATTTAAAATTGATGACTTATTGGATTTTTCAAAGCGTGCTCATAATGTTTTAACTCCTTAAATGTAAGAAATGGAGGGTGGGGAGATGAAGATTCGTCATATTATGAATGAAATAGGAAGATTACAATGGGTAAAGAATAAGTTTCTAGATGAATTAAGAGAAACCAAACATAGATTTGAAGAGGAAAAAAAGAGAGAAAAAGAAGAAATGATTGAGATGGAAAATAAAATGAGGTTTAAGAATATATAGATTGATATAGAGAAATAAAGACAAAGAAATATTGTAATCATCCACCTTTTAATATCGTTAATATAGATTGAGGATACTAAAAATAATACAGTGCTGATCTATAAAATTTTAGACTAAATAATCTAAATTAGTAATAGAATAGACAAAAGGGTCGATAATGAACGTTTACCAGCTTAAATTTACCTTGGAGAGGATAAAAAAAATGTGTAGGAGTTTTTAAATTTTAGAGAATTAGGAGCGAAAAACGAGGGATTCGATGAATCTAAGAAGAGAACTGTTATAAAATCTACTTTATTTTTAGAAAAGAAGCTAATATTTGTAAGTTAATTGTGACTTAGAAAACTTATAATAGATTTTCAGAGATGTTTCAGAAAAACTTGATCTTAATGCAAAACTTGATTATATAAGATTAAAAGGTTTGATGACAAAGCACATGATAAGGAATTATAATGATATGATTTACCACTCTCAGTAATTATAGTGAATATCAATTTAATTTTATAGATCAATTTGCATTGAGGAATTCCCTTAAGATTCTTTAAAGATAAAGGGATCATTATTAGAAGGTAAATCTTATTCAGAAAGCCCACTTGCAAATAAAGCCAAAGATTTGCAAAAAATGAGAACTAGCAGGAGAATCGTTAATTTAGATATGATTGCTGTAGAAGCATCTAGGATAAAGAATGTTTTGCAAATAGATAAAAAACATTAAGAGAGTATGGGTACTCTCCTAAAGGATGCTATGATGCTAAAATTATCATCTTAAGCCCTATAACTAAAAAGAGAGCAAACTATAAGCATTAATCACATTAATGAAAAAAATGATGATTTAAAGAGTAGTTTTGCTGATGATGAGCCAAATAAAAATTCAAGCATAAGGTAATAATTTTTGTATATTTATATTGAATATAGTGAAAATAGAGTTGCACTTAGAATGACTGATCCAAACGAATTATTTGGCAAAGATGCGTATATTCAAGATAATAAGTCAATCAAAAGGAAATGGCAACTTCAAAATATTTCAAGTCTTCATAAGGTTGAAAATAAATTTAGATAGCTTAATATGATGTATACTCATATCACTAAAAGTGATCTAGAATTAAAAAATAGCAAAGCATACTTAGAGAGACTTATAGTGAACAAAAAGCCAGGATAAATTAGTAATACCACCTAAAACTTGAGTTCAGTTTCACTTCATAAAAAATTAACCATAAATATCAACGATATTAAGCAAAAGGGTTCTAGTAGATAACTATCTAATATATCTGAAAGTAGTTCAAGAAATGGAGGAGGAGCCATTGGATCTAAGGTAAAGTTTGACAAGAATATTATGGAACAATAGAAAAAGCCTAGGAAAAATCATATTCCAGGTACAATTTCTCAAGAGTAAATATAAAGGCAACAAAAGAGACTAAATTCTGCATCCTCGAGATAAATAAACCATATTCTCAATAAATAATCTCAAGATATATTAAATAGTACGAAACTTGACTCTGCTGGGATGTCCTAAACAAATATTAATCTATATTCAAACGGGGACGATGAGTACACAAGACACCATTTTAGTAATATCAATAGTGGTAGTCCTAGCATCATTTCGCAGAAGAAATTCGGAGGCAGAAGATCTTAAAGAGATGATAGCCAAATATAATTTGCCTCAGACAAAAAATAAAAAGAAAATTTTATAAAAACGTTTAACAAAGAGCAAATGAGACTCAGACCAACAACAGCTATTACAGGATATAAGAAAAACAGCAAAGATTTGGCAACTCCAAAGACTACTAAACTATTGAATAACAATTACTTCTCACAAACGAATGAAAGACTAAACACTAGCAGTAGATCTCATCGATCAACAAACTCTAGAAGAAATAGCCAGTCATTTACACATTTACAATCCTAGAAACATGCACCACTATTCTTGACAAAGCATACATTAAATGCTTACAAACCTCAACCAATTAAAAGATTGCTTAAAGATAAAAAATCATAATTAAGCAATGTTGATAAGCAAATTCATGCTAAACAATAGAAATTGGAATAGCATTATATGAGAAGAGTTTTTTCTGCTGAAGATCTTGATAAAGAACCTTCAAGACCAGTTGAAGATGAGCTTAATATGGAGAAGGTAAAAGATGACTTGAGGCAGGAAAAAATGAAGGAAATTCTGATAAAGAAAAACAAAATTATGATGAATCGTAACATTCCAAACCATCTAAAATCATATATCCACTCTCTAAAATCTTGAATAAATATAGATACTTAATTGTTTAATTTAGCATTCGATCAATATTAAATTTTAAGATTGCCAATAGGGGTTTTGGGGTTTTGGGGTTTTGGGGTTTTGGGG